TCTATCATGCTTAGCTTTCTTTATAGTTCAAATTTCACTGCCATTCATTGCTACTGGAAAAACCACAGCTTTGACTAAAGGTACCTTTATCAGCAAGGTGATGTCTCTGCTTTTTAGTATTCTGTTAAGATTTGTCATAGCTTTCCTACCAAGTAGCAAGCATCTTTTAACTTCATGGTTGTAGTTGCCAATTCAATAATGAACCCAAGAATAAAAAATCTGACATTACTTCTATTTCTTCTCCATTTGCCAGAAAGTGATGGGACCAGTTGCCAAGATCTTAGTTTTTTATGTTAAGCTTCAAGCTAGCTTCTATACTTTTTTCTTTCACCCTTATCAAGGCGCTTTTTAATTCCTCATCACTTTTAGACCTCAATTAATATTTGTTCATTTATTTGTTGATGCTTCCTAGTAAGGCCTGTACCCTCATTGGTGTAAATTACCATTATTTACAATGAGCTTCAAAGTGGTTGAATGAAGCTCCTTAAGGGATAGATTTTGTTTTTATCTAAAGTACTGTAAATTTATGGTCATAGTACTAGTGACAATAAGAAATCATTTGTATTATTTAATTCTTGAGGTTAAAGTTGGTGTCCTTACAATGAAAGTCTTTTTTTGTTGTTGTTCTTCTGCACAGAGCAGAAACCAAGGTTTGTTGAATCTTTGGATTTTGAGGAAAATGCTAGTTAAAACTAAATCCACCAAATATTCAAATGGGGAAATAAGCAAAACCCTTTGTCACAAAAAATAAGGAAAGTTGATTTATGATAAGGTATTTATATCAAAATATATCAGGACCATAAAAGAAAGAAAGAAAATGTCTATGTTTGCATTTTGATATAATACATGGAGGTGATTTCTTAGGAATTAAATAAACTGCTTCTTTGATAGCAGTAAAAGGTGTACATCTTGGAGGCAAGTTTGGCAAAATATAAACAAAAAGTAACAACATTAAAAGAACATGTGAACTCCATATAAACCAATACAACTTGGATACTGATTGCACAGAGATAATTAAAGAATCATAGATCTCAAAGAATTACACAACAAACTGAGAAGCCAAATACCACAATACAGTAAATAATAGGGAAAAACTGTCTAGTAGTTTTGTGTGCAGACAACGAAGCTCTCAGAATGAAGAGATAATCACCTGAAGAAGAAAAAAGGGAGTGAAAAGTTTAAACTCTAATTTAACAATTGGTGGTAAAACTCAACAGTTTAATAACAAACAAATGTAAGCACCATAGGAAGGACTTTCAAATATGAAGGAAAGTATAACTAACACAGTATTATTCCATATTTATGGGAAATCTCATTAAAAATGGTTGCTGGGGTAAAATGTATATAAACTTTGAAGTGACCACTACTGAGATAGAGGAAAAGAAATGTGAGCATAATCTAATATGCACCCCACATTTTGGGAAAGCAAATTTGAAATGGTTCAAAGGGAAGCTAGGTAAGATTTCACGAGGGAAATGAAGATATGAGTGATGGACAATGTTCAAGAATGAAATTCTGATGCCGAAAAGGAGAACAGTTACAATGAGCAGCAAAAGTGAATTAAGGAATCAATGTAGATAAAAAGGGAATTAACGAACCAATTTAGATTTTTTACAATGCACAGAAAATGGAAGAAAGGACAGATAAAATAATGGCGATAAAATAACTGTGAAAAAATGTCAGGAATGCAAAAGCTGAATCTTATGAGGAAGGCTAAGGACAACAAAAGGGGGGGTTGTTGTTGTTTTGTATAATTTTGAGTTTTAATTTTATTGGGACAAATGGAGTTTAAAAAGTTAGAACCTTTCCTTGGTGTGAATGGGATAATGAGAACTGTCAAAGTGTCTGTAACCATTTAATTACAGTTTTGTTTCTTTTTTTTTTCCTCTGCAAAGGACAATGATTAATAGAAGTTGATTCTTTACATAAAGAAATAGTAAGAGATCAACCTAGTTGTCCTTCATATGTTTAAGTCACCTTGCCCAGATGAACTACATCCTTGGGTCCAGAAAGAAATGGCAGATATAATTGCTGATCTATTGTCAGTGATGTTTATATGATGGTGAACTGCAGCAGAAATAGCATTAGATTGAAGAAAGGCCAATGCTGTCCTAGTTTTCTGAAAGGAAAATAGAACAGAGTCAACAAACCATAGCCAATGAGCTTGGCTTTGATTCTTTAGACAATCCTAACGTAGATCATTAAAGAAATACTTGGTGAAGAACTAGAAAGGAAGATATTCTAGAATCAACAAGAAAAGGTCATGTCTGATTAATTCCTTTTATTTTTGTGACAGGCTTACAAAACTAGTAGACAAGAAGAATTCTGTGGATATAGTTTATCTAGATATTCATGCTTTGATGAAGTATTTCATACTATTATTGCAGAGAAGATGGAGAGAGATAAATTAGATGATGTAATAAGATTGATTCAGAATTGACTGGATGGCTATATGTAAAGAGTAGTTAATGGCTCTAAGTCATTGTGGCAGGAAGTTTTGAGGGATAAATGATGAAAATAAAAGTATGTATAGTTTGCTTAACAAATTTTCAAGTGACATGAAGCTGCAAGTCATAGATAACAACAGATGAGAACAGGGATCCAAAATGATTTTGATAAGCTAGCACTGGGCTTAATTTAAAAAGGAATTCAGTATATATCTATATCTATAGGTAGATAAATACAGACAGAGCTATAATCTTGAACTTCAGTACAAAAATATCAACTTCACAAATATAATAAAATAGGATGAGGAAAGGGAAGGCATAGAGAGATTGTCTGGAATCTGTACAAACATCTCATGGTTGGAGTTAATGGACAACTACAAGTTCAGCATGAATGAACAGTGTGATGAGGCAGCTAAAAGAAATCCCTTTCACATTGTGACTTTACCCATCACAGTTTCAATATATCCTGGGTCAGCATAAGTCTTTAAATAGGAATTTTGAGGGATTTTTGTGGAAGCCACAGACAACACATGAAGGCCAGCAGACCACACAGAAAAAAATTAGAGACTCAGAAATGTATAAAATATATGTATAGTATTATATAATATCAACATATTTTATCTTTTAATAGCATAATAATTCAGACTTCTCTCTATGGAGAGAGGGCCAAAAAATGTCATGTGGATTTCCCAGATCACAGGGGTGCTGTGCCCCTAGACCCTATAATGTGGAAGGGACAACTGTAATGTGTTCTTAGTATGATTTAAGAGAAGTATTGCTTCATGGACAGGGAGGAAATAGTCCCATTGTATTCTGCCCTTCAGTTTTGTACTTGGTTCTGGGCACCATGGTTTAGGAAGGACAGGACATTGATAAGCTGAAAAGGGTCCATAGAAGGGAATCAGGATGTAAGGGCCTAGAGTCCATGATATTGGTTGAAGGAGTTAAACATATTTAGCCTTAATTAAAGAAGACTCAGCAGGATATAATAACCATCTTCAAGGAACTAAAGGGCAGTTATGTGGAGGAGCAATTAAATGGGTTCAATTTTGCCCCCAGAAGCAATGTTTTGATGTTGAAAAGAAATAAATTTTGGCTCTATATCAGGAAAAACTCCCCAATAATTGGAGCTGTCCTGATGTGGAAGGGCTAATCTTTAGAAATGGTGACTCCTCCCTCCTCAGAAAGCTCACCATAGTCTGGACAATTGTTTTTCAGGCGGTTTAGAAGAGGGACTCTTTTGGTGTGTGGATGAGACTAGATGGCTCTGGAGTTCCCCTCCAATTCTTTATAGCATATTACCAACTATATATATCTATATCTGACTCCAGAATAGAATATTACCAACAACCCCAATCCAATGCAATTAAAAACCTGCCCCACTACCATAAAAAATAAAGGACAAGACCTCTTTCTAGGATTGGAGGAATAAAAAGACAAAGACAAAACTATCCTTGCCCTACTGTGAAATATACACATAAGAAAATACAAAGTACTTTTATGAATGAGAAAGCACCAAAAACTGGGGGATGGGATTAAGAATACTTCACTGGACATGTGATTATATTAGTTCCTCATTCACATTTTCTCATTCTGTGTTATATTTGTCCATATGTTCCAAAGTACTTAGAAGATTGATAAAACCTATTGAATCTCTTAGCATTTCATAGATATCAGCATAACATAAGCTGCCCATTATTCCTCATTCTTGTTATATAACATAGGTAGTTGCTAAATTTTCTTCTTTGTTACCAAGTCAGTTATTTATTATACATTAAATAGAAAGCAGTTGTCATACCCACTCACTCCACCATGGAAGTATTAATTAATATTTTTACCAGAACACACTTTTATTTAATAATGGGCATTATGGTACTAGGACATTCAAGCAGGGAAACTGGCTAGGGAATATATTTGAATAAATAATCTAAACTTACTCAGTGGTTGGAAAATAAAAGTTGTGTGAATTTGAGATTTAAGGTAGAGATTTGTGTGGAAGCAAGATCCCAAAGTAAGATTTCTGTTCTAGTAAGCCGTGTTCTACCTGAGAATCTCTGGGACTCTGTAACATAGAGTAATACTTGTAAAATATTAGCTGCAAGAATAATATTATTTCCCTTTTTTGTAGTCTATAAGTGGTGCAATGAATGGATAGAAGTCAGGACCTGGATTCTGAAAAATCTGAATTCAAATTCTGTCTGAAACAAGACAATTATCAGCCATGACCTTGTACAATTTACTTAATTTCTTATTGCTTCAATTTCCTCATCTGTAAAAAATAGGTATAATAGTACCAACCTCATAGGATTGTTGTGAGGATCAAATGAGATTATATATGGGTGTGTGTGTGTGTGTATGTATACGTGTGTGTACATGCATACACACATATAAAGAACTTTGCACTATATAAATATTAGCTATTATTTAAAGCTAGGTATAGTATTCCCTTGATATACCAATGTTAAGAGAGCATATCTATGTATTGATAAAGGGAACAATTTTGATAACATTTTAAATGCTTATATTTAAACCTTTGTTTCTGATGTTTTTTAGGCTGTATGGTACTCCACTCAATATTGACCTTTGGCCTGCTTTAATGGTAGAAGACCTCATCCCTGGCACAAGAGTAGGACCAACCCTGATGTGCCTTTTTGTTACGCAGTTTCAACGACTAAGAGATGGAGACAGGTGAATAAATGTGTCTGCATATCCTTTTGCTTTACTAATCAAAAATGACCTATACATAAAATCTATCTAACACAATCTGACAGGAAGCTTATAAAATGAGAGTTATATAATTTCTGTCTCTTAAAATTCTGTATTCTAAAATTCTGCTATGTGTCAATTGAAGCTGGATACAGTTTCTCTGACCATTAATAATGGTAATTCAAATTCTTTTCAAGGAAATTATTTCATGATGGGAAGAAGAGTTCCCCGGAGGAAATTTCTTTGCTTTAGGCATTCTTTTTTATATCTTCCATCTGGGAGTTTAATGAAAAAGAATGGAAATAGATTATATTCTTTTTTTCACTACATATTGAAAAGGGTTCAAGGAAGATAAACACACTGATACCCACATTTGGATCTACAGTGGTTTATCATAATAAACACATAGCTCCACCAAGTACCAGAATCAGTGATTACACAGATCTTTTCATCCCTATTCAAACAGAAGGATAATAGTCCCATTCTACTAATTTTTGAGTTTCTAGGCCAACCATCTGTGGTCCCATGGGCTCCAACTTGTAGGTTGGGTGGTCCATCTACCGTCTACCATGCTAGTATATGACCATCTTAGTAGTTTTTCACATGATAACCTGCCTCTAGAACATCTGTATCCTTTGACCTATGGAGTGCCTCATTTATTCAAGTGTTCCATTGTCTAGTTTTATACATCATTTATCCCATTAAATTCAGAGTAATCAAAAGTTTGTAGTCTCTATGTTTTATTGTTGACCAGCAGTCTGATTTGTAGACTTGTCCTGATCTTCAGGTGTTGTTGGCTGCTCCTGAAACTGATAAAGAATCCTTCAAGCAAAATAAGTCATAAAACATATTGGAGTATTTTGCCTTTGTTCTTTTAAGGTTTTAAAAGTTAGTCTTCTGTTGGCCTCACATTAATACTAGAGTGACTAAAAGTTTCCAGTACAACTTCAGTTTGTGGAAATAATGGAATCATTTTTTCCAATAAATAAACACTTTGTCATGACTTGTTCTTTAATAGTGTGTCCATTTATTTAAATTATTCATTGAGTATAAATATTCGTGCTCCAGTAGAGGAATGTGGACTTTTCTCTTTTAAGTACAGCTTGATATACCTTTAAAGCTATGAAAAGTTACCAAAATACTCTCTAAGAAATATACCTGACCTTCAAATTACTGATTTTCTTTGGATTAAAAATATATTTTGTTAAAGAACTTCATTTGCTAAGCTATTTTTTAAAGTTTTTGATAGAAAGTAATAGTTCAAGGATATGTGATTTAAGAACTGAATATAAAACACTGAAGGCAATTAAAGTACGTTTGACTGGAGTACAAATGTGATCCCTTCCATATGGTGCTTTCTCCTTCTGCTCTTATCTTTGCCTCATTATCACTGTTTGACATGCAGTTTAATTCTCAGTCAGGTGATCCATGATACTGTGTTGTTCTTGCTTGCCAACTAGGTTCTGGTATGAAAACCCTGGAGTATTCACACCAGCACAGGTCACTCAGCTGAAACAGGCTTCACTGGCACATGTACTCTGTGAAAATGGTGACAATATTCAGCAGGTCCAGGCCGATGTCTTCTTAAAGGCAAATACCCTCAGGGATACATGAACTGCAAGGAGATACCTAAGATTGATTTGAGAGTGTGGCAAGATTGCTGTGAAGGTCAGTAATTACTTGAATAGAAACTCATCAGGCAACTTTAATTTGGTAATGTTTTGGATTTAACTGTTGCCTTCATTGTATTTGCAGTGGCAAGGGCTCCATGGCTTTAAAAAATAAGAAAAAATTATATAAAATCTCCAAGTTTAAATCTTGCCTCAAGACTAGTGTGATCCTGGGCAAGTCAACTACCCTGTTTCTGCCTCAATTTCCTTATTTGTAAAATGGGGAGAATAACGCCACCTACTTCCCAGGGTGATTTTGAGGCTAAAATGTAATAATATATGTAAATCACTTTGTAAAAGCTTAAATGTCATATACATACTAATAATCAAGATTATTACTTATATGTGTATGTGTGCATAGTGCTTGAAATGATCTGTTATCTCAATTGTTATGTCAATTTCATCTACTGATTGTAACCCCTCTACACCTTAGTAGATGGCTTCATGAGTTGGTGTGGCCGAAATCATTCATCATAAAGCTAGTGTTCATGTGTCTTGGAATATTCACAGTATACTACTGAGACTTGAAATGAAAACTGCTATCCTTTTTTTTATTGTTATCTGATGTAATTTGTTTGTTAACAGTAATGCATTATAATATTTATACACATTATTGATTTTAGTTAGTAAAAAGAGGAGCTGAGACACCATGTGCATGGTGTTTCCACTAATTCAAGACTATTGGGGGCAGCTAGGTGGCGCAGTGGGTAAAGCATCAGCCCTGGAGTCAGGAGGACCTGAGTTCAAATCTGGTCTCAGATTAGACACTTGACACTTACTAGCTGTGTAACCCTGGCAGGTCACTTAACCCCAATTACCTCACCAAAAAAGACTGCTGTTAGTGAGAAGAAAGAATGTTTTGGCCATTACATTACCCTGTAGATATTCATAGTGCAGGTCAGGTTGCTACATAATAAAGATTCCTTGAGCATATCTATTGAGGATGAGAAAATCACAGTTACTCTGGATTCCATAATTATCATAAGCATGGCATAAAATCATCATAATCATCCATCACTGTTGGATGATGACCATCTAAGAGACCTATCCTCTACTCAATTTGTCCCCAAAATGCTTTTCATGGGCCTATCAAAGTTGAGTTTACATTCCAATACTTTTTTCTCAATTACAAAAAGCAGACATTTTATCTACCTCCCCAATAGAATATAGAATATCAAATATAAAAAATAACAAAATAATTATTGGTCCTATGGTTGTAGTTAATTAAGTTCTATTGAAAAAGATGAAAAGAATGAAATAAAAGCAACCAAACAATAACAATAAAAATTACAGCTGATAATTATAAAAGTTTGAAAAGCAGTGACAACAACAATTTCCAATAGGTTTTAAGTACTGACAATGGAGATTGAGAATTTCAGAATTTTAGAGTTCAAAAGGACTAATCCTCATATGAAATAGGCTTCAGACCTTCCTTCAGTTTGTGTGCCCTCTTCTCAATGCTCTCTAGCTTGTCAATGTCCTTTTAAAACTATAGTTTCCAGAAATAAATACAAATCTCTAGATGACAAGTGATAAGGACAGAGTATGGGTAGAATGAGACTATCTCTTCACTGTTACTAGAACTGAACTCCCTCTTAAGGCCTCATAAAGTCATTTAGCCTTTTTCAATGTCATATCACACAACTGAATCCCTTTGAGTTTTGGGTTTATCTCCTGGAAAACACTAGATGGAATGAGATCAATTGTGAATGTTGATGTACTTGTCTTGGCAAAAGGAAGGGCCATCTCATTGTGTTAGACAAAGATAGAGGGGGAAATGTTGGGGGAAGACATTTGAGTGGTGTTAGATGAGGAGGAGGAAAGAAAAGAGAACTCTCAGCAAAGGGCCTCAGTGTCTTTGTTTGTTTGTAAAATATAAGGGAAATTTCTCAGCTGAGAGAGGGAGGGGTATAGTGAATCGATTAAGAAAGTATAAAAGATCTGCCTCATTTCAGGGATGGCCTATTTAAGATTATGTAACATAGATTTGTAGTGGACCCAATCAGCATGGTTTTTGTGACTTTCTTTGCCTCTGTTTAGCAGTACATGATGAGGAATGAAGAACATGGATGGTGGGAGAAAGAGGAAATTTTAAAAAAACACCTTTTTAATACAAATGTCTGCCTGGTGAATCATGAAACATCGCAATTAAGCATTAGCAATGTAGTCAATGAAGAGATGCCAGTTAGACTGCAGCATGTTTCCAAAGATGAATTATATGTGAGAAGTAATATAAATGATATTTTTGAGGAAATTTATTATTAGAAAAGGAGGACAGCTAATCATGTATCAAAGGTGATGAATAACAGATGAACACCATTATGGCTGTACAAGACAGAAGCTTCAAGAATGTAAAAAGACCTAAGTCTTTTAGGCAGGCTTCCAACATGGGTATTCTCTAAACTGAGGCTGTGTTGGAGAACATGAATAAGAATGACGTAGAACTGAGAAGTTTTAGCTGGGTTGAGATCAGCATCAGTGGAGGGAATACCCACATTACAGATCTCAGTAATTATCTTCAAAAAAATCAATTCACTTGTAAAATCACCTTAAAATATACATTAATCAAACCATAATTTAAGAAGCCTATATGGTAAATAATTAGAAATAAAATCAGTTTAATTTTGCGACATTTACTGACCAATAGCAACTGATTTTTAAAATGGCTTTCTCCAATAGAATGTAATTTGGTATGGAATTATATTATATTACATTACATTTATTACATTATGTTAATATTATGTAATGATATTTTAATATGATCATATATACCATTGTATGTTGCTATGTATTGCATATATTATGTAATATTGTTGTGTTATAGCTATGTTATAAATTATATTATTTATATTATATACTATAGAATAAAATCAACATTTTTATATTATCGAAATCTTTTATTATATAATTCTATGTATAATTACAACATATATAGGCTATTTCCCTTGGATATTGTACTATAAATTGCTGCTTTAATGAATCAAGCAGTTCACATATCTTAGTAGTCTCATACAATCCCAAACATCCTTATATTCTTCCAAAGATACTTATTTTCCCAATGATTCTGGTCAATTGTGTCTACTTCTTAACCTCATATTACAAAGTGATTTTTTCTTTTGGGGAGAAAAAGGACTCATTATTAATTTTTTTGTTTGTTTTTGTGTTGGAGGCAGTGTGGCTGGACCTGTAAGTTTATTGGTATAAAATATTCTTGGTCAGGAAAATTTCTGCTAAGGCAGATCAGCAACTTGTCTATTCTGTGACCTCTAGTTTATCATTTCCATGGTCACCTAGAGATCAAATGACTCATCCAGGATTACAAAGCTAATATGTGTCAGAGGAGAACTTAAACCCAGGTTTAACTCTGTGGTCATATCCCATGGTACCATGTTATCTCTATTCACTAAACCATAAATAAACAGATAAATATTTGTTGTTATTTAAGGTCTAGTATTTGATAGCTTAAAGCACTTGGATACTTATTATGAACCTTCTGTCACTCATTTTGAAGAAATCTGTGCTTTTCCCTTCTAATCTTGCCTTTACTTACATAGAAAAAGATAATAAGGTTTAAAGGGTTTAATTATTTGAGCTTCATCTTTCTCTAGAAGAGTAGAGATGGAGTTCTGGAAATCAAACCGAACTCCATAGATTTCAAGTAGTGTCCTACATAACTAAGAATTAATATTCTATTCAGATGAACTTCAGTTCCTCATGGTATATTTTCATTAGCGTGGTTTTTTTTTTTGGTTAAAATCATGTTTCAAGTTTATATTTTCTAGAAATAGCTTTCATTAAAGCTGAATGCCTACCGTTCAATCAACAAGATTTTGTGAAGATGCCCTCAACACCTGCCATCAAGGAACTTACATATGAATGGAGGAGACAGCACTATGTACATGGATAGGCATAATAAAGAATAGAGAGAGTGGATATGATAACCTTAGAAGCTGGAGAGGGAGGTCCAGGGAAGGAAATCATACAGGTGGGAGAGAGAAGTATCTGAGTCTTGAAGGAGGCTAAGGAATCTAAGAAGAGGAGGCAGGCAAGCCAGGCATGGGGGTACCTGCAGCCAGTGCAAAGGCACAGAGATGAGAAATTGAATGTCATGTGTAAAGATCAAATTGGTCAGTATAGTTGAACTACAGCATGTGTGGGAGGAGACTAAAAAGATAATTACTCAATAAGTCACTAAATACTATGTTTTTTTTAGGCATTGTACAAAGCACTGGGAATACAAAGGAAAAAAACATGTCACTATTGATCTGGTCACTGAATGATCTGTTTTCGTTTTTGTTTTGCCACAACAATTCAGGAGGGTTACTAAAGTGTGAATGGGGCTATAATCTGTCTCAGTAGATCTTCATTGAAATAATGGACACTGCGAAGGATAATGGTTCTTTCTTTCTTTCTTTTTTTTTTTGTATGTGTCATGGACCTTTTTGTCAGTCTGGCAAAGCCAAGGAAGCCTTTCTTGTAATATTGATTTTATATACATAAAATAGATACGATTACGAAGGGCATCAATTATGTTAAAAGGATGTTATAAAAATATTTTTTAAAAAAATTCATGTACCCAAGGTTATGAACCTGTGTTTTAAAGTATTTCTATAAATGTTTATGGCAAGTCGGATTCTAGGAAGATGGCAAAGTAGGTCAGAAAATTCCAGGCTCTCTAAATTTCTTCCACAAACAGGAAAGTATGATGGGGAAATGACAATGAGAAATATACATTATATATGTATATATATAATTATAAAATAATATATATTTTCATTAATATAGTATAATTTTTATTATATGTATAATCAACTTCTCATATATTTTGCATTATATGTAATATATTTCTTTTAATTATACATATATACATATGTATGCATTTTTCATATAATGTTATTTGTATACACGTATGTGAGTATATATGTCTCAAAAGTGGGAAAAAGTGTAGCCTCAGAAAATACATTTTTACTGATATTCTCATTACCTAAGTCTGTACCATTGCCTGGAAAACATGATAAATTCTAGCCAGGTTCTCCCTATGGATGATTGAGGCAAGGGTAATATCAGGAAATGTCTAACATTTTTTAAAAATAATGGACATTATCAATAGAAAAAATGTTTTCAAGAATACGTTAAAATCTATTGATCTGTGTTCCTACTTTATCAAAGTAGATTGTGACATATTAGCAATGAAGAATTGAATCAGAGAAGTGATAGAAAAAAATGTTAAATAGTTAATAATAGTAATCATAATAAATAGCATTTATGCAATGTTTTGAGGTTTGCAAAGTGCTTTACAAACATTGTCTCATTTTATCCTCATGATAACCTGGGAGGTATGTGCTTTGTTTTCCATGCCAATTTTTCAGATGAGGAAACTGAGGCAGACAGAGGTTAAGTGATTTGCCCATGGTCACACAGCTAGTAAGTTTCTAAAGCTGGATTTGAACACAGGTGTTATGGACTCCAGGTCCTGTGCTGCATCCATCACAACAATTAGCTGCCTAAATGTATTGTATAGCTATAAAAAATGAATCAGCTGTATATTGAAATAAAGAGAAAACAGATGTATGCTTATGTACTATCAAGACAACAAGAGAAAGTCCTCACCATCTAGTGGGAATCTTCCTTTGACTTGAGCTTTGCACTGGATTTCTTCTATGACAGTGTCAACCACCTTTATCAAGCATATGTCTATATATTCTGGATCCAGCTTGTTAAGCTGGATTAAGCAAAGTTATCTCAGTTATTTCATGTTTTTGGAGGATATTTGCATGACCTTAACATCGTTATGGATGACAGTTTTTGGTGGAGAATCTTTAAGATGACTTCTTGCTCTACTGAGTCAAGTGGAGCTTTTTAACAGTTAACAGACAGTGTAACAGGATACTATATTTTCCATGACAATCAGCTGGGGTGACTATAAAGATGTATCTTGCTGAGGAATACCATTTATGTATTGTGAAGGATTTATGTGGGAGCATGTGGACAAGAATTACAGTGGCTAAGAAGGCAAAGAGGGATTTAAATGCCCATCATTGGAGGAAACAGCCACACTGGTGAAAATATAGGTCCATTAAAGTACTAATAGGAAAAACTGGGCTCTACATGAAAACAAGGTGTATTGAGCAGAGTAAAAAAGTGTAGAGGCTATAGCATGGACCATTGAGGGTAAATTGAGCAAGCAAATATTCAGTAAATGTATTTCTATGATTTGTGGAGAGAAATTATGGGATGGGGGGACTATCAAATGAAATGCTGAGAAATTAGAAAAAGGAGCAGCAGAACCAAAATTTCTCAGTTCCAAAGAAGATAAGACCAGAGGATATTATTGAATTTCTTCAATAAACTGGAGCCCTTATATCTTCACTGGGATTTGCTGGTTTGTCATTTTTTTTGTTTATTTGTTTTTAATTTCTCATTAAAATTACTTCACATTTTAAAAAATTACTATAAATGATACAGATTCTAAAATGTTATTTTATTTTGGCCATAATGTGTATATTTTGTAAACCTTTTGCTTCCCTCTCTTTTCTCTCTCTGTAGAACCGGTTTTATAACCAATAACATCTTTCTTCCCCATAGTCATTTTTATTTCATACACCTTCCTCATGATCACCTTTTTCTTGTTAATAAACAGACCCACTCTTCTAGTTGGATATCCTTTTATCCTAGAATTACCACCCTGGAAGGAAAAGGTACAGAAGCAACAATCTCTACAGGTTATTGCTCAGTTCCAAAATCATTTTCCCTATCATCTAATCAACGGAGTCTTTGCATACCCTTCTAGGTGATACAAACAGATTTAATTCAACACTTTTCTTAAGTGTAGCCATTATTCCTTATCACTTCTCCATTTGGTTCTGTCAGAACCCCACAATTGGTACATCTGCTTGGCAAATCATGTACCAATTCATTTTTATCAGAAGTGAAGGATGACTCCTCATATGTAATGTAGCCCTTGTGACAAAATAAAACAAGCCCCATGCTAAGCCCTCATGCAACTGAATTGGATAAATCCTCTTTCAAATAAAAAGAGCTTCATAAACCACAAACAGATGTATATTTTCTTCTGGGATTTATGCGACCATCTGTTTTTGTAATTTCCAGCTGTGTATTTCACATTAACTTCTCTTTTTAAACCTTCAAGTCATTTTAAATACAGTGTATTTTATATCACATGTAAATATATTTATGTTTACTCATGACTTTTGTTCAGGTAAATTGTGCTTCTGTTTGTAGGCTAATGAAAGTTTAATTTCTTCCAAAGTGACTAATCTTATTACCATAATATTTCATCATGTTGCTGCTGTTCCACATCTGACTTAGAAATTCCCTTCAAAGTATTTCTGAAAAAACTCAGATTGTAACAGCCCCAAGAAAACCTTAACATGACAATTACCTAGCAGCAGAGAGAGCCCAGTTGAGGGTACAAAACATAAATTTGTAGTGGACCGTGTCAGAATAGTTGCATGATTTTCTCCACTTTTGAATCTAGTACAAGAGCTCTTCCCCTCTCTTTTGTACTGCTATTACAGAATATCTTTCCCAGAAACCTTGTGGAAATCAAGGTGAAGATAAGTGTTTGACATCAATAGAAAAGACTCTAAATGACCCTGAAAAGATAATGGAGAGTATGAAACATGTGCTCAAAATGTGATACAGTCAATACATCAAAATGATATTGATATAATTGAGTTTAAATTGCGTTAAACTATTTCTCTGGAGCTACTTTCCATGTAAGTTTCCAAAGTATTGAATTATCTTCCCAGAGGCCAAATTTGATTATTTACAGTTCACCTGCCATCTCAAAAGAAAAAAAAATAGATCAGAACTTAACATTCAGTTGTTAAATTCTTATTGTGTTGCTTAGTGTAGGAAAATGGATTTTTTTAGACAAATATTTCTTCGAATAATAAACTTTTTCTCATTGGGAAAGTTAAGATCTTTTGTCATAATCTTAAAAATTAAAGAGTTATATATACAGCAAATTTTCAGTCCAAGGAAAAATAAAATAAATTCATCAGTGGGTGTTAGGAGGGGGAGGAATGGCTGAAAATGAATATACTTTTTAATTTGGAATAAAGCTGTCAGGGATCAGGCTTGAGTTGGCACAGTACAGGGCAAATATTAGACATCTTGAATCTGTGCATAGAAAAGGTATCCTGTGCTGTATTGGGTATTGACATTAGGGAGCAAGGATTGTATAAATTTCTCCTTTCTGTCTTCTTAGAAGATCTCTATTTCACTCAAAGAAATCTCTATTTCACACAAAGAAATAGCATTTGAGGATTTGGTCAGTGTAATAATTATCAGTTCTTCCGTGACATTAATATAGGCTGTTCTTTTTCACAGACTGTGGAACAAGAGGACAGTTCAGAGCATTCACACAAGAACTTAGAAGAAAACGCTCTCTTCAATATAGCTATCCAGAAGAGAAAAAAGAAGACTCAGCTGATGTGAATAACAGGTATATATAAGGACCTAATTTCTATAGATTTGCTTTCACTTTGAGAACTAGATATCAAATACATTTTAAAACAAATGACATTTTAAGATATACCCAGTCTTTATGGTGTATGCCAGCCTATTTTAAGATTATTTACTATTTTATACAAAAAAGTTCTTTCTTGAAAAGGAAATACCTCTATTACATTCCTGAAACATGGTTATCCAGCTCCTCTTTGAAGAACTCAAGTGAAGGAGAAAATGTTAATTTCCCAAACAGCCTTTTTATTTTGGGAGAAGCATTTTTCTTTTTCTTTCTTTCTCGGTTAGGCAATGGGGTTAAGTGACTTGCCCAGGGTCACACAGCTAGTATTATGTGTTTGAGGCCAGATTTGAACTCAGGTCCTCCTGAATCCAGGGCTGGTGCTCTATCCACTGCACCATGTAGCTGCCCCAGAAAGAAGCATTTTTCCTGGGAAATCTTTCCTTAGAGATTACAAAACCTAACTCTGCTACCAAATACTCCCATTAGAAGCAAAGGGAATATGCCTAATTTTTCCAGAGAGGTCATATACTGCCTTTCCACCTCTCTTGTCTCCCAATATCAAAACCTGATTTTAAATTATACCATGACCTTCAATCCCTTCACTCCTCAGTTCTTTACTAGACCATCACCCTTAGACTAGCTACAGTCCCTTCTTTTATTCCACCTTGACCCTTTGGGAGGACCAGTTCAACTCTACAAATTTCTCTTCTCTTGAGATCCTTGCCCTCTTATCAAATCACCTATTGTGCCCTGCCAAACCTTAGCCTTACACCACTCCCACCATCTGCTACCTTCTCTCATACACATATGCTGCTGAATAAAGGTGGAGAAATTCATGCAACTCTTCTGACATGGTCCATTACAAATTTGTTTTGTATCTTCAACTGTGCCTTTACTGCTGCTAGGTAATCCTTTTACACCTTCCTAATCCCTCACTTCCCATACCTTATTATCCCTTTCACCACAGCAACTCTTTTAAACATTTTCCTCTCTCCTCATAGCACCCATGACTCCTCTTCTCCCCACCCTTCCAGCTAAGAACCTTCTTTCATATTTTACAGGAAAAAAATGAGGCCATGTGCCAAGAGCTTCTTCTCCCTTCTTCTTCATCTCATATCACTCAGGTACCTTCTGCCACTATCTCCTCCTCCATCCCTGCCTCACATGGAAGAGGTTGCCCTTTTCCTTGTCAAAGCAAACCCTTCTATTTATAAAAGTGATCTGATTCTATCCCATCTCCTCCATCAGATTGCTTATTCTAGCATTCCGCACCCTCTTACTATGTTAAATCTGTTCTTATCTACTGGAAGCTTCTTTATTACATGCAATCACATCCATGTCTTCTGCTGCTAACTATTATTCCAAATATCTCCAGTCTTTTCTGTCTAACCTCTTTGAGGAAGCCACCTACAATAAGTACCTCCACATCGTATCCTCTCATTTTCCTCCTTACTCTCAAAATCTCGCTTCTGACCACATTATTGAACCAAAAGTGCTCTTTCCAGAGTTACCAGTGATCTCTTAATTGCTAGATCCAATGGATTTTTCTCAATTTCCATTTTTCTTGACCTCTCTACAGCCTTTGACACTGTCAAACCCTCTCTTCTCCTCGATACTGTCTTTCTCTGGGTTTGCATGACATGACTTTCTCCTAGTTCTCCTTCTACCAATTTGACCACTCCCCAGTCTCCTTTGCTGCATCTTCTTACCAGTCAGGGTTAGTAATTTTGAGTGTCCCACAAAGCCCTACCCTAAGCCTTCTTCTTTTCTCCTTGTAAACCGTTTTACTTGGTAACATCATCAGATCCATGGATTCAATTATTATCTCTATGCTAATGATTCTCACATCTACTTTTACAGCTGAAACCACTCTCTTTACCTTTACTCTTGCATCTCCAACTGCCTATTAGGCATCTTGAACTGGATGTCATGTAGATATCTTAAACCCAACATGTCTAAAACTGATCTCATTTTTCCTCCAAACCTTCTTAACCTCCAAACTTCCCAATTAATGTCAAAGGCCCCCCTATTCTCCCAGTCCTTCTGGATTCCAACGTAGGTATCATCCTTGACTCTTTCCTATCTCTCACCCCACCCCCACCCCAGCCTATCCATTGCTAGGACAGGTCAATTTCACTTTTCTAATATCTCTTGAATATGCCTCCTTCTCCTTTCTGATATTATCACCATCCTAGCACAGACTCATTCCCTCATGCCTGGACTATTGAAATAGCTTGCTGGCTGGTCTGCTTGTCACTTCTGCTATCCCACTTCAGTCTATCCTTTACTCAGCTGCCAAAATGATTTTCCTCACTTACATGTCAGACTGTGTCACCCTCCTACTCAATAAGCACCAGTAGTTGCTATAACCTCCAGGATCAAATATAAGGTCTTCCTTTTGGTGTTCAAAGCCCTTTGTATTCTACCCCCTCTCAGCCACCTTTCCAGTCTTCTTACACAACACAACACATTTTGCTCCAGCCCCTCCACCCCCATTAGGCTGTGATACAGTGACACTGGCTTCCTTGCTGTTCCTCTAATAAGACACTCCATGTTTTGACTGCAAGCACTTTCTCTAGCTGTCTCTCATGCTTTCAATGTGCCCTTTTATCTCTGCCACCTGGCTCCTGTGGCTCCCTTCAAGTTCCAGCTAAAATTCTATTTTCTACAGGAGACCTTCGCCTGTTTCTCTTAATTCTGCTGTCTTCCCTCTATTGCTTGTTTCTGATTTGTCCTGTATTTGACTTGTTAGTAAATAGTTATTTGCATGTTATGCCCCTTATTAGATTGTGAGTTCAGGGACTTTCTTTTGTCTTTCTTTGTATCCCCAATACTTAACATCATGGCTGGCAAACAGTAAGTACTTACTGAATGCATATTGACTGACTGAGAACTTCTACTTGTAAATGACCATCATAAATCTTTTCACCAAGAACTGAACTCGATATTCCAGATATAGTCTGTCCTGGGCAAAGTACAGTAGGATTATTGCCTACTTTATTCTGTAAAGCATGTTTTATTTCATGACTCTTTTGATACCATGTTGCATCCCACTGGCTAACAAGTATTCCTACTTTCCTTAATCTCCAGATGCACATTACCTTGCTTTCTCTTAGGAACTGTAGGTTTGAGGGATATTTTTGCTAAGTATTGACAGTTATTCTGGCTCATTATGACTCTGTTGGAAAATTCTTTCCTCTCTATTTCATATGCATGTCAGACACCATTGTAGTGTAGTATTTGTATTCAATTTAATTTCATTTGTGTTTTAGTCCTCTTGACTTCCTACGATTGTGTGCTCTTGTGCTATCTAGAATGGGTTTTTTGTCAGGGACATTTGAAAGTAATAACTTTCTTGTAACTGGCCTGTTTATTGATACTAGAGACAGTATACGTTCTCGCAGTGGGGCTGGGTTCCTGTTAAACTTAGAAAACATAACTATACTTTCAAGGACTCCAGGAAGGCAATTGAATTCTGCCTCTGCTGTGGAAACTGAGTCAACCTTGTGCTTCAGTGGTTGCTCTGTGTATTCAAGAAATTGATGTCAATCAACTAGTGTCTTGAGATGTGGGTATGAAGTGATGGCATTTCAATCTAAAGTTAAGCCCAATAAAATAACCTGAACAGAATGGCACAATGACCATCATAGTCTGTGGAATTAAAAAATGCAACAACATACAATTTTCACTTAAAATACCTTATTTATAACTGATGAACTTATCTAAGACTTTCATTTGATAAACAAGTGGGTTATGAAAAGCATACTTCTTCTCATCAATACTGTCAGTCATTGTTGAACAACTGAATTTCACATCTAGGTCAAGACAATGCTGATTATTATTCAGACCTATGCCATAATATTGCAGTTTTGCACATTTCTTAGAAGACAAGCTACAGGAATCACATTTCATGTAGATGTCGAGTCAATGTCAGACACAGGTCCCTGTTGGTGGAAAAATGATATTTGTAGTGAGAAGAGAATTGGATTCAGAAAACCTAGGTTCCAGTCCAAGATCTTCTACTTACTGCTTGTCACAGGCTCTCTGAACTGAATTTCCTCAAGGGTAAAATTATGGAATTAGATTACATGACCCAAGGGCTCTTCCAGCTCTGAAAATATGATACTAATGGCCCAAGCCAAAGCTGTAGCCTGTAAGACTGTTACACTTTGTCACAGAAATTAAAGGAATAACCTCTAATGACATTGCTGTGTATAACATACAGATAGTGAGATATTTTTCCAAAAAGGTCAGTGCATGTATACTCTAGAACATTTTCCAATCAATTTAGAAAGATCAATCAAGATTCATAGAATCACAAAATTTCACAGTTGGAAGGTACCTTGATGGCTGTGTAATCCAACAATATACATAAAAAGGAATCCCCACTAGAATGTGCCCGACAAATCGTCATACAGACTCTTCTGGAATGAACTCCAATTTGAGATAATTTGTAATCCTCTCAAGTAGCTTTTACTAAGAAACTGTTAAGAAAGTTTTCCCCTCTCTCATATCAAGTCTAAATTTGCCTAATTGCAGGCTCTACTCATTGCTCCTGGTTCTGCCCTCTGTGGTCAAACAGAATAAGTCTTCTCCTCCGTATGATAGGCCTTCAAATAATGGAAGACAGTCATCATTTCCTTTCTGAGCCTTTTATTTTCTGGACTATTCATCTCCAGGTTCTTTGATAGTTCCTCATGTGATGTGTAATCAAGTTCTTTCACCATCCTGGTTATTCTTTTTTGGACATTCTCCAGCTTATTAATGTCCTTCTTATACTGCTTTGCCAAGAACTGAAAATAGCACAGATGTGGCCAGATATAGAGTACAGCCTCTATTACCTCCTTTTTCTAGAAGCAAATCCCCTTTCAGTGTACCCATGATTATATTAGCTTTTTTTGTCTATCATATCATGCTGTTGATTTATATGAAACAAGAGTTCACTAGAACCCCTGGATATTTTTCAGACAAGCTGC